TGATACTCTGAGTGTATATCCACACCGGGGCCGATCGGGCAGGCTAACATTTCAGCCTGCCTTGTGTGGAAATACACTCAGAGTAACATCAAAAACACAAAATCTATTTTCTTTATCATTATTCATTACTTTACGTTAAGAAGTAATAATTCAAATCCGACCGGATGACAAGATTTCAAGTCCGGGCAGTAGACCTTATGCATAATGACGTCACAAGGCTTGATGCCCGCGAGGGATGCCGTTCTTAGTAGTCATCGCCTGGGAAAACTTCGATAGTGGCCATTTTGAATTGTTTAATTTTCCCGGGCGATGACTACTAAGACCAGCATTCCTCGCGGGCATCAAGCCTTGTGACTGTCATTATGCATAAAAGTCTATTTGATCAAGTCTGAGGAGAAGCCGAGGACTGGATCAACATACGAGGACTTGAAATCTAGCCAGTCTTGAAATGACATATCATGCGATACGAATAAATCACTACTTAAAGTGAGATGAATTAATACTAGCCTCCCCTTATTACGTTTTCGTAGCGCTTTGCATTGTGATTATAGTGGTATCGCTGATCGATATTCATGCAAGATGGCTTATTTTTGTCCTGACCCGTGTAAGAACTTTTAAAAAAAGCTAGGGTCAGGTGCGCGATATAGCCAACAGCAAAACATTCGCAAAATATTCAATATTTTCACTAATCGAGGCCGCTATCTTTATACCACTTGTGAACCAGTCCTAGGACTGAATCATTATTCTTCATCAGCAAGCCGCTCCATTCACTATTCGGAGTAATCCGGATTTTCAGAACACTAATTGGCATGGAACAGAAGACAGTCACATGACTGTATGTACTGAACTGTTCTGACTACCTTAATTTTCGAGTTGGGGCAGCCATAACAGAACACGTGACACTGCCCGTTTTCACGTGATTGGAAATGGAGGCGAAAGATTGTGTGTATCTAATGCACACTGCATGAAGTGTTATTTTGTAGGGTTAACCGCTATATATCGACATATGCTTATTATATATATGGACTTCAAAGATTTGGATTCTTGCACTTCACTTGGTGGAATTAATGTTAGAATCGCAGGGCCGTAGGTTCAATTCGTACCAGAGGACCTTGTGCTGCATTTTTCGCAGTCGTTCCTGGTTAGGTCTTAAAATGTATTTATACTCACTTGGAATACAAACCCTAACATTCTAACATTAATTCG